TGCACGAAACCCGAAGTGCTGGCTCAAAATAATTAGGACAGCAAAAAGGAACGTCTGTTTTTTGTCATCTAGGTTTAATGACTCCCCCTTTCTACATTTAAGTTATAACTATCACTCCGATTGCGCAAAGTTGAACACGTCTGGTTTTGTTGATGAGGCTATTTTTGGTTTTCGGTCTCAATGCGAGAAAGAAACAGTGAGCTAAAAAGACATAGAATTGACTATCATTAGAACCATGATAAGAAAAGACTAGTTGCGTCGCCTTCTTTTTGCAGGTGGCTAACTCCCACTATCATTAGAACCAAAAAATAAGAAAAGACTAGTTGCGTCGCCTCCTTTTTGCAGGCGGCTCAACTCCCTTGTATCATTAGAACCAAAATAAGAAAAGACTAGTTGCGTCCTCCTTTTTGCCCAGGCGGCTAACTCCCACTATCATTAGAACCAAAAAATAAGAAAAGACTAGTTGCGTCGCCTCCTTTTTGCAGGCGGCTCAACTCCCTTGTATCATTAGAACCAAAATAAGAAAAGACTAGTTGCGTCGCCTCCTTTTTGCAGGCGGCTCAACTCCCTCTCTATCTTTCAATCTATCAATTAAGCACAAATAGTATTTTAACGTATCTTCTTGCCGCGGTATTCCTTACATTCAAAGTATTTCCTATTCGGTTTATTTCAATGGCTTCTCTAATTTTACGTTTAGCCGCAAACATACCATAATCAGCGAAACGACAAGTTTGAGACCATTCAATCTCGTGTCCAGTTTCCGCCCTGTGTTCAGCAAGCTCCGATTTTTTGAACCCAACATCCTTTGCAGGCGCTTTTGTGTTCAGCCACTTTTTGTCGAATGGGACGACAAGTCTCTTCAACATAAAAGCGACCACATCAACACATTATTTTGTAGCAACCCGATATGGATAATGGGTCAACTTTCTTTCTAAAAGTGGGCATGACTCAAGAAAGTGTCATAGTTTCTGTGAACACAGTTTTTATTCCCCACTTCCTAACTTGCTCACATATCCTTTTAAACGCACGAGGGTAAAGACAAAACATGAGAAAAGGTCTCCTTATCTCTCCTTACGTATTCACCATTCAAAAAGCTAATCTTTATTAATCTAATGTTATTTTTAATCAAGCCAAGGGGATAATTATTCTCAAGGAAAATTATTTTAAGCCGATTT